GTTTCTAACGTTTTTGAGCACGTGGCGCGGGTCAAAACTCAGAAAGATGACGTGGTTGGCGTCATGTGGATGACGTACAACTGTGTTGAGGTTGTCGTTACCCATGTGTTTAAACATCGTCGCATTTGCTGAATAATTGTCCGTGACAATGCGAATGATGGTAAAGCTACATGATTTCACAGCAGCAATGACCTCCTTCGTCCATGCAATGAGGTCTCAACCGCTCAGTTTCTTCGTGAAGTAGTAATAGCATAGAATCTTGTACCGACTAGTGGTACCATGCAGCACAAAGCAGAGGAGTTTGCTCACAAGGGCCTGTTTCACTTATTTGCCATGCTACTGTATGGCTTGTCCTTGAGGCTAACGACTGCATCAGCCTTCCTACCATGATTGCACTTTTGTTTTGTGCTAGTTTTATCTATTATTAATGAGGTCATAAGTTGTTTGCTGCTGAGTAGCGATGCGTCGTGAACCAGGCGGTCCTTCATAGCATTGCTCATACCCGATGATGATGGGATTGGACCTATATACCTCTGAAGAGTGCACTTTGCTGGCAATGCCAGAATCCCCGAAGGGCGAGCGTGATCGTAGCCTTTTTGGACAGAAAGCGCCATATCACACACTCCCTAATAACTTCTTCTGGGTACAGCTGAATGTTCATCTCCGTAACATTCCTATTTGATGCAAAAGAAACACGGCCTCGTTCCTTCTCTCCTTTCTGTGCATCTGTTGTGCACTTTCTTAACCCACACGTGGTGGTTGCTTTCACAATAATATGCAGACGCATTTTCCTCTTCTTTCAACAACTGCTGCACCTACTCTCATTTCGAACGATGGCATGACACTCAAGAGCGTAATCTTACTATCATAGCCAGATATCGACCAGCGCGATGAGCATTGCTGTTAATTGTTTGCTTACAAACACTTACTGCTTTTTGTTCAGTGAAAGCATTTTGTGAAGTCGCAACATCCAGGTCTGGTTCGTTGGGTCTCCCCTTTTCGCTTCCTTGATGTTTGGCGTAGGGCCGAAGCTCGTGAAGCGGGACCTTTGCGGGGCTTCTTTGCACTTGGTCTCATGTAGGAAGGATAGTCCTCGAAGAGAGGGGGGGCAGAGTCGGGAAGAAGTTATCTGATGCAGCACGCAGGCACATAGTCCACATCGCAGAAGTGTCTGCTGCACACGACAGTCGATGCAGACTTGTCGTTGATGATGAGGTTCTCTCTAGCAATATTATTTTGCCATTTAGCGCACAGTTCAGCATTGCCTGAGATTTGGTGAGTAGAAACACTAGGTATTTTTTTCCGAACAGGACTTGCAATACGGAACACAACAATACACCATCGCACATCTAATATATATCCATACGTACTGCTCGTACTGAAGGTTGTACCACCGCCTTCCCGAATCGAAAAATCACTGCAGACTGAACACTGATAAAGCTCTGAACAAAATGCAGCCACGTTGGGCAAAAGCAAGTCTCACTAGAGGAAAATAGAAATCGGCAACAACCTGTTTGTAGAGCCACAAGATAAGTAAAAGAAAAAGCTGTTTACATGCCAAGAAGTTGGGATGGCAGTTTCTCTTCCTAAACATGTTCTTCCACGAACTCGAAGTATAGCGCAGAATTGATTTGCACTAGGGCTTTTAGTTTGAAAGCAAGCGGTTTGCGAGCGTGAGCAGCTGCATTCTTCATATCATTCATAGATGTGGCTTGCAGTACGATGGAGCAGCAAAAGAGCTCGGGGTCTCCGGAATTAATGTTTACAGGTGGTGTTAACACCTTGACAATGCACGCCACTCCTCAAGGGCATGCCGTCCGAAGGGGTTAATCAGCAGCAAAAGTCCACTTTTTGCTTACATTTCTAACCTTTAGATATACAAGTCACGTACGTGTTTCAAAGAGCTGTCAAGCAGCAGACTGTCGCTTTTAGCCCCTGAAAACCACTACAGATGTATTTGTAAAAATAAAAAAGTAGAAAATAGCTAGCAAAGGGAAGGTGTGCTCGTCATTTCTGTAAGCGACCTTTAGTTGCGGCCTCATTGTCCAACAAGAGCAAGTGCCAAAGGTGCTTTGTGCTCACCACTTGCAGAACAGATGCAGTGTTGTTTATCTCTCTATCTCTGTCTGGTCGTTGCCAATGCTTTATGCTTCATGCATTATGTCTCGTTAGCTAATTCTATGCATTTTTACTGAGCTTCAGCTTGTATTATCAACAAGCACATGCACACCTAAATTATGCATCGAGCTGTCTGATAACATTGTTGTTTTTTTTTAAGGAAAGATGATCTCTTTACCCCCGACTTCTTGAGTAATCCTCATCGTCGAGAACCTTTATTCCCATGGTTTCACATCGACAATCTCCCTTGTGCCGTGTGCGCAGCCCAGAAGATGCAATGGCAGGGTCACTGCGCCCCTACCACCGACGGGTGGCGTAGTATACTCCCATTGTATTCCCGACGGTTAAGAAGGCCGTAAGGAAACAAACTGGTGCAGGTGCAGTCTAGCACGGCCGTAAGCGAACCAGGTGGCGCACCGTCCTTAAATGACCGGCATCCCCGTCACCACGGCAAGAGAACTTTTCGCTTAGAGACATTTGTTTGGACAGCTGGCGTAAGTAAATGCGTGTCTGTCCATGTGTGCTATGAAATGTTAATACAAGTGTGAACGTGTATTTGTGCACTGGTGTACTATATAGTCCTTTCTGGAGCAATCCTGCCCCTTAAAACATCACAAAGTTCAGTAATATTGCTAACTTGTTAACTACAGCTTTTAATAAATGGCAACTTCAGGTATCAGGGGCGTAGCATATGCTTCATTGCGTATTTGCATTGGCTACAATGCTTGGAGAGCCCCTTGCTTTTTTCAAGTAATTACGCGTATGCAGATGGTGCAAGCGCCAGTTTTCTTTTAAAAAATCAGACTGAATATAATATTGCACAACCCCCCACTGTTGCCTTCTTCATTTCGGTATGCCATGAAATTCCGTGCTCTCTACGTGACGTCACAAATGTGTAAAATCTCGCGGTGTTAAGTTGGCATGCCCAAAATTGAAAGCTCATTACTGATTATGCTAAACAACACCTAAACATTTTTAATAGTGATAATGTATCTCATTCAAATATAATTAAAAACGCTGCCCACCAATCCCCTTGACTGCGACTACTTACATCAGATAATAAGATGGATTCAAATGACCACAACAAATATCTTCAGCTCAACAATGTCCAGTTGTTCGTGCGCGTATATAACTTGATCAACTGATCCTTGCTTTGAGGGTACAGAAGAAATAAACCGGGAGTGTGCGTCTTCGCCTTGCGAGTTGTATTGTGCCTCGTATGAAGTAAATTCGAGAAGACCAACTAGCCTGACTGTCAATTCGATATCTTTAGTCCAGAAAACCAAGCACTTTCCCCAGCTTCGGTAGATCACATTGCGGTACAAGCTTGGCTTCCCAATGTATCAGTGCGTTCTGCCCTATTCCTCGCCCCTTGTTCCGAGCAAGCGCGATTGCGGCAAGGAGGTAAGCAAAGAGGAGCAAATAAATAAATGAAAAAAACAGAAGCTGTAACCTTCCTTAGCTTCTCCAATGGGGCCAATTAAAACACTGAAAACTTCTACACACTCATTGACAAATTATGTGAAATGCAGTGGTGATATTTATTTTCCCCAAACTAGAAGAGCAGTTTATCAGCGCATAACAGTGTTTACTGGTTACTGGTCGTATTTGCGTCGCAAATTGTGAAAACTTCAAGCCAGGTGGAACACCATTAAAAATCAGAGCGTACTCTAAAGTTACATAGAGCCTACACAGTAGTAGCCTTCTCTGCATTGCTGTATCGCAAAATGTAAAAGCGCCGCATATTCGCCATGCACTGCAGAGATCTACAGTGCGTGGTCATGAGACACGGAAGACGATCTCCACAACAAAATCCCAGGAAAATCGTGATATTATTCAGTGATTGCTGCGTAGAACTAAGACTTCGCCGGAGATGACAGTTTCCGAGTGTGCAACCGACAAAGACTGTGGTCGCAAGAGGGGGGGGGGGGGGCAGAGGGTTTTGCTTCTTTAACTTTTCTCAGTGGGGGGGGGGGGGGGCAAGGGGTTTTTTGTTTTCCCGGTTGATACGCCTGTGACCCACTCTTTTTTTCGCTTGTTCTCTATATAAAGCTAGATATCAGTACTCTTTTCTATATTTCCTTATCTCTTTCTTTGATTCTTTCTTTCTCTTTCTAATTTGTTATATGTCATGCTTTTCTCTCTTCTCACTCTCAATACTTCCTCGTCACCTGCCCTTTGAACCCCCTCTCTAATGTTGTCCTATACAAGGCTATGCCAGCGTGCCCAGATAGCACAGTGCTTAAGCCGCTCACTTGCGGATCGTGGATACGCGGGTTTCAATCTCGCCCTTCTATGAGTAACTTTTTTCGCAAAATTTTCTTTCTTTTTTTGATACCCTGGCGGCGCAGTGTTCTGGGGGAGAGCTTGAAGCGGTGCCTTTTTATGATGGCGAAAACTTCGGGTCACTTTATTTTATGCCGAGCAAGAAGAGCTTCTCGGTCAAAGCTTGCTCGACATTTCGATAGAGCACACGCGTGCAAATAAACATGTAAAAAGAGTAAACCAGGAAAAGGACTTGCTCAAAGAACGTTTATTTCCTTACTGGTAGTTCCCGTACTTGATCGCTGGTGACGTTATTGGATCCACGGGTGAAAACGACACCCGTCGCAACAGGCTCGTCGACACTTGTGAATATATTACGCACCCTACTGCGGTTCAGATCAGTATACTCGGACGGCTGATTGCGCGGGGCCTCCTGCGAGTCGCAGTGCGCCCTCCTTCACCGCGGAAAGCAACTCCTCTCGGTGACGCGTTGCTTTCGGTGACTGCCGCTAGTAGGCAGCGGCGCTCACATGCTTGTCCCGAAGGGGGAGCGCTCGCCCGTCGTCCCGCGTAGGGCACTCGTTTCTCCCCGGCTGCCAGAAGGGAAGGAGTGCATCATGCGGCGACGCGTGCCTCGAACGATCGGAACTGTGGTCGCCCTGCTGCTGTGTTACGACACGTCGTTTGCCGGCGGTGTGCTACTGGCCGGCATGGTCGACGACGACGGCTACGACTCCATGAGTCAGCAACTTCAGGACGAAACAACGTGGAACAACACGGTTCACATGTCCGTACTCCTACCGGGCAACTCGTCGTACCTGTTCTCCCTCGCCCGAGTGCGGCCTGCCGTCGAACTGGCCGTGTCCTGGTCGTCTCGCGAGTACGGCTGGCAGTTTCGCGTCACGTACCGGGACTCTGGCTGCCAGTCTCCACTGGCGACGATGCACGCGGTGCGAGACCACGCGCGCGGCGCGGCGCACGTTTTCGTGGGGCCTGCATGTGACTACGCGGCCGCTTCGGTGGCACGCTTGCTCAAGTTTTGGCGCTTGCCGATGGTGACTGCGGGCGCACTGGCGTACGACTTCTGGGACAAGGTGCACGAAGGCAGCGAGTACTATCTGATGACTCGAGCCGGGCTGTCCTTCTCTGGTCTCTGCCAGGGGTTCCTGGGGCTTTGCCGTCGCTTCGGCTGGCGTCGCATGCTCATCCTCTTCGAGTCCGAGGCGCGAAAGGAGTCGCACGGAGACGACTACTGCTTCCTGTGGGCCAAGGCCATGGCGCAGTTACTTCGAAACTCCTCGGATAACTTTGAGTTCGATGGAGTGAAGCTGGACAAAAGGACACCGATAAAGCAGCAGATCATTAAGGCAGCTTCCACAAAATGGTCCAGTGAGTGCATGTTATTTTGTTGCTCTTAGAACAAGCATTCGTAGGTGACGAGTGTATGTCCTCTATTACCAGTCTGGATATGCACGCATTATCTCGCGGTATGGCACAGGTGCCGTTGATGCTTGCTGCTTTGTTTATGCTATAGATCTTCGATGCCGGTTGAAACGCGCTTCGCAGTAATATACTGACTGAAAAGTACCTCGCAGTGTGCCAAGGCTGTTCTATAAGGTAGTGGTTCTCCTTTTGAACACTGCAGCAGCACGCCATTACTGAATTCCGAAGATATTTTTTTCTTTCATGGAACGAGATCTAGGCTCAGATAAGTGCTGCCTGTTTTCACCGGCGTATCCTGAAACGAAGAACGAAAAAAGAAACGAGACTCATGCTGTATTTCTCGCTCAAGATTAATTTGTTAACCCGGATAAACTCGTGAATGTTTAATGTGGCGTCTGTAATCGTCATATGCCATAAAACGTGGCATGCCTACTTTTGTGCTCAGTCTCCTAAATGAATGGAACAGAAGAAATAAGCGCGAAGGCTGCGGTCTTCTCAAATAGCTAAGAGTTCGTGGACATGGTGGGCTTCAAATTAATCAAAATTCAAGGTGGTCTTGGAGTTGTTTTGCTCTTGCACTTCTATGTTCAATCTTTCACGCAATTAGGGTTGCTGCCGTCCGACTGGTTTAAAAGCCAATAAAACTACAGGTGAGCTTCTGCGTTTGTGAGGCATTGCCTTGCTTTTATCCATCTGACGCATATATTTCCGCCTTGTATTTGATGTAGTTGTGTTTATTAATATAATATATGTTGCAGTGTAACGTTTCAATACTGACATACATGTGTTTTTTTTTTTGGCACGTCCCGTAGTAAGACGCCCGCCCATAAAGCGAAATAAAATATGTATATGTTCCCGAAACACTTCGGAACACCATGTTTCAGTTTACCTTAAGATTATGCCGGCCTTGGTGTAATTATACACGGTTGATTGTTCTTACGGGAAACATCTCACTGTAATTTTGGCACTCAAAGCATGCACCTTACATTTGAATAACTTTTAAGAAGCTGCACTTTCGTTTACGCATTGTTGCATAGTCCGTAGACCTGGACTTTTTTTTTCCTATAAAGGAGAACGTAAGTCGCAGTCACATTTTTTCATGCTCTCAAGAAATACTTTGTTTCAGAATTTGTATTTATTTATTTGTCGTACTGTTAACCCTCACTTGAGGGTCATTACAGGGAGGGTGAAGAATTGAGTTGCACAAAACTAAATGTTTGAAAAATCGTAAGATGAACTCTGTAACATATAACATAATTATATAAGAACACAGTTACATGCTTTTTCACTCAATATATTGCCACGTTCCATTTCTCAAGTTTTGTTATCGCCCCAAAACACTACACAATTCTCAGCGCAAACCGCGCCTGCAGTTTTCGAGAAGCTTCCGGACTATAATAGATCATTTCGATAAGATGACGCCCACTATGCGAACTGTACAGATTATTCTGGAACGTACGCCACCACCAGCGATAACGCTAGAACATTCGATGGCAAGAGTATAAATGCGACGCACTTCCCCACTTGTCAGTAGTTGATCGACAGCCGACGCTCCGTTCGCCGCTATCTGTAATTGGACTTTCCGTTTTACCGGGCACAGGTTCGCCTAAATAAACAGTTAAATTCCAACACAAAGTGTTCTGTCTTCGGCCACGTCACGACTCCGTGACATCTGGTGGAGGTGCGGGGTATCGATCCCCGTACCTCTCGCAGATGTGCGAGAGGTACGGGGAGCTTAATTTTTACTGGTGGTTGGACAACTGACGATATCTCATCTATGTATAAAAGAAGGAGTAGGGGCCCCAGTACAGATCCTTGAGGCACTCCCGAATACACCTCCCGATTTCCCGACATAGCATCTCCCACTCTAACTGCTTGTTGTCGATAGCTTACATAAGCTTTGATCCAACTGAGAACATTCTCACTAATACCGACATTGCGAAGCTTGAATTGCAGCTTACAGTGTGAAACTCTGTCGAACGCCTTTGAAAAACTGATACATATAGCATCAATTTGCATACAGGCATCTACAGCTATACACAAGTCATGTATAGTTTCAACCACTTGTGTGACTGTTGAAAGGCCACCGCGAAATCCATGCTGAAAGGGGCATAATATTTCATTTTGTTCTGAAAACTGCCGAATATTTTTTGCCACTATATGTTCAAATATTTTACAACATACCGACGTGAGTGAGACAGGCCTATAATTGTTCAATGTTGTTCTATCACCACCTTTAAAAATTGAAACAACAATTGCTCTACGCCAATATTGAGGTAACGAGTGGCATTTTAAAGATTTCTCGAAAATAATCACTGGGTAGTACGACAGCCACTCTGCAAATTGTCGCGAAAATTGATTCGATATACCGTCAGGTCCGCATGATGATTTAGTCTTTAAAAGAAGTAGTTGATTGAATATACCTTCTCGGTTAATATTTATATCATTTTCCTGAAGTGTCACTGTAGTACCCGATTCAATTTCCTCCTTGTAATCCTGATCCTTACAGAAAACCGATCGAAAAAATTGATTGAGTCTTTCAGCTATATCTGACTTTTTTGTGATTACTTCTTTTCCATCTACAATAAGATCAATTCCCTCATTCGCTTCCTTAAAAAACAGCCAAAACTTACGTGGTGAGTTTTGTTAAAAAGTTAGTGAGTGTGTTATTGAAAAAAAATGTTTCTTGCATTGCGCTGAAGGTTGGACGCTAGGAGTCGCAGAGTGCGGACGCACGTTGTGTAGGCTCCGCAGTTTTCAAATGATTTTTGTTAAAAAATTGCAAAACTTGGCTAAAGTCTCTACGCCAATCGACGGAGGAAGTTCAGCCGAACACCTGGATACCAACTATTGCAAGGTGGGCCCGCTTTTTCGGCACTGACACCGATAATTCTGAGTCGCCACGAAGATCAAACATTGCGTCTGCCGCCGCAGCGGCGGGGAGAGCTAGGTCCAACGCGTCGACGAGGACGCCTGGGGCGACCCCGGAACGCCTCGACGGCGCGTCTAGCACCACGATGGAGGTTGTAAGCGTGGAAGGAGAAGATATGCAACCGGAGGACTTTACCAACGACGCCGGATGGTGCGAAGTCCGCAGAAGAAACATCACGAAAACATCTGGAGGGATTTCAGGCCCGAAGAGAACCATGCTAAGAGACGCTGCTGCGCCGACGGGCGCGCCTGGGGACAGCAAGTGGAAAGGTGAACGAACCATACGACAAATTGCTAATGCAAGCAGACTTCCTTGTCTACCGGCAGAAGACTACAAAGTGATCGTGCGACCACGAGGAGGACTCAGCGTTTCGGAGCACAGGCAGGCACGCATATACTGCTGCCTGAGAAACGCCGCTGGCGTCGGTCGCGAAGCAGCAGAAGAAGACAGTATATGCATAAACTACAAGCAGAATATCGTGGTCGTCAGCACGCCGTCCGAAGAGCGAGCCAGGCGGTACGGAGTCATCACGAAGATCCGAGTGGGAGAGCAAGAACACGAAGCCAGCGCCTACAGAGCAGCGCCGGAAAACACATCTAAGGGACTCATAAGAGGGATATCCCAAGAGGAAAGTTCCGAAGATATTATAGACAACCTAGTGACAGCAAGAAACCCAAGCATATTACACGCGAAGAGGATGGGCAACACAGACAATGTCATCGTGCTCTTCGACGGACTACACGTGCCGAGATACGTGAAATACGGAGCGCTCATCGTCCGGTGCTCGCTATACAGAAAACACATTGACATTTGCTACGAATGTGGGAGGCTGGGACACAGGGCGGACGTTTGCCCCAACCCAGACGAAAAAATATGCAGAGGATGCGGCGTGGCCAACCCGCCGCAAGAACACCAGTGTGAAGCAAGATGTCAGCTATGCGGGCAAGCTTACTTTACGGGAGACAGACGCTGCAAGGCAAAGTACAAGATACCGTATTTGGTCCGGCGAAGACGCTGGGAGCGACGAAGAAGAGAAGAAGCGGAGGCCGAAACACCATACGGCATCAACGACTACAAACGAGCTGGCAAAGCAACGAGCGAGAACACCCAGGGATCAGAAGGCCATCGCACAGAAGGCTCACCCCCGGGACCATACGAGGGGGACAGTCGGAAGCAGCCCGGTCGCAGACCAAGGTCGAGGACCCGGTCCAGAGCCCGTTCGAGAACCCGATCGAGAACCCGATCGAGATCCAGGGCAACGTCAAGATTGCAATCCAGCCGAGGAGCGGTAGAAACTCAGGCACAGGTGAGCTTTGCAGACGCGGTCTCTGGCACTGCTGTTACACCTACACGCGCGGGGTCCGCCTTAGAACAGGAAATAACACAGATCAGACAGTTGTTAGAGCAAATAAAGCGAGGAAACGCGACGCTAAGGGAAGAAATAAAAATGCTTAAAGTAGAAAACGCTAAGCTTAAGAACCCAAAACACTCAGAGATGACCCATACCACGCCAACACCCATTAGGGCGTCGACACCTCTTCGAGCTCCGGCGACGCCCGTTCCCGCGTCGATGAGGGGAGAAACGCCACCGCATAAACGAAGGGCAAAGGAAAACGCCGATGAGCAAAGCGACTCTACACTCGGAGAAGTAAAAGGCATGTTTCAGGAAATGTTCGTAGGTTTACAGCAGCAATTCATGCAGATGCGCGCGGACCTACAACAGCAGATAACGCAGATGCGAGATGAAATGTCTCAGAGGTTCGACACCCTCGAGGGTAGGGTAGGGCAGCTAGAAAACGTCTCGAAAGACGCCCGACCCGCAGGAGCGAGGCCGGTCAAGAGCAAGCCGTACAGCAGACCACCTGCGGCTGAGAACAGCTGCATAGAAAACTCGAGTAGCCAACATGGCGCCGCCTAATGAATACACGATTTGGCAGTGGAATTGTCGTGGGTTTCGTCGTAAGCGGGGTAACCTGCAGCAATTCGTAAAAACCAAGCAAGCACCAGATGTAATCGCCCTCCAGGAAACTGGGGGGACCGCAAAATTATCAGGATACAAATCATATAGCACTTTAGCTGAAAAAGCAACAGTAACCACACTGATACATCGTAATATAACGGCTGTAGAACACGATACTGGCGTACGCAACATAGACCACGTCCTACTAGAAATTCTCCCGTCTCGAAAAAAGGAGGGAAGCTTGTTTGTGTTGAACGTGTACAGTCCACCACGACAAAAGGTAAAGTTTGGCTCGCTTTTCCGCAAAGTGCTAAACGTAGCGGGCAGACAAGCACTGATCGTCGTGGGCGACTTTAACGCACCACACGCCGCCTGGGGTTACACCATCGAAAACGTTAAAGGCCGCAACCTGTGGAACGACGCGCAGCACGAGGAGCTCACGCTAATAACTAACCCACAAGACCCTACCAGAATGGGGAACAGCGTCAGTAGAGACACCACGCCGGACCTTACATTCATAAAGGATATATCGAACCCTCATTGGACCAACACTAACGTAAATCTAGGCAGCGATCACTACATTGTATGCACAATTTTACAAGCAGGTCCGCGTAAAAAGAAAGGTAGAAAAATAATGTTAACCGAGTGGGACACCTTTCGTAAGATAAGAGAGGACGATGCTACAGAGACCATCGAAGATATACAGAAGTGGACAGACACACTCCAGCGTAGCGTGCAGAAAGCCACCAAACATGTTCCCGAAGAGGCAGGAATGGAAGAAATGGACAGCAAGCTCTTACACATGTGGGAGGCAAAACGCAGCCTGCAAGAGCGCTGGAAAGGTCAAAAGCACAACCGGCGTCTAAGAAAGAGAATCGTCGCGCTCGACAGAGACATAGAAGACTACGCAAATAGGCTGTCCCAGCAGCAGTGGGCAGGCATGTGCACTTTAATGAACAGGCAGTTCGGAATGTCCAAAACTTGGAACATTCTCCGAGGCCTCCTTGATCCAGAAGGCACGAAAACAACACAAAGACAAAACCTGCAACGGATACTACACAGCTACGCAGGTACAGAAGCAGAGCTCTTACGCGAGCTACGCCAGACATACGTAGGAGATGCCACAAAGGCGCGACTCCCAGAGTACGAAGGGAAGGATAACGTCGACCTCGACGCCTCCATAACAGAGGCAGAGATTCGATACGAACTCGGACGACTCAATCCCAAGTCCGCCCCGGGTCCCGACGGTATAACAAATAAAACACTTCGCAACTTAGATGACGAATCCGTCACTGCTCTCACAAAGTACATAAACGAATGCTGGGAGAAGGGCGCCATACCCCAGCAATGGAAAACCGCCAAAATCATATTAATACCCAAGCCGGGCAAAAAGCCGCTCATCGGAAATCTCAGGCCCATTTCATTGACGTCCTGCATTGGAAAGCTCATGGAAAAAGTAATTTTAACGCGTCTCGTCAGGTACATGGACGACAACGAGCTATACCCACACACCATGATCGGCTTTCGACCAAGACTCTCGACGCAAGACGTCATGTTGCAGCTAAAGAATCAAATCATAGACGCCGAAACGCACACCCTGGATACAAAAGCCATTCTGGGCCTTGACCTGCAGAAGGCATTTGATAACGTCACCCACGAGGCCATATTGCGCAACTTGCAAAACCTACACGTAGGTCGGAGAGTGTACGATTACATAAAAGATTTTCTCACCAACCGTAAAGCTACAATCACGGCCGGGGAAGCGGAATCCGAAGAATTCGTTCTAGGCAACAAGGGAACACCACAAGGTTCGGTGCTTTCTCCTTTCCTATTCAACGTGGCGATGCTTGGTTTACCCTCAGAGCTGGAACGCGTCGAAGGGCTTCAGCACAGTATCTATGCGGATGACATCACCCTATGGGTGACGGGCGGGAGCGACGGTCACATAGAAGAGATTTTACAACAAGCAGTAAATACGGTAGAGCGATACGTGGAGAACAATGGCCTAAATGCTCTCCTCAAAAATCGGAGTTATTACTCTACAGACCTACAAGCAGAGGTCGCAAGCGCATTCACGAACGACACAACATCACAATCTTAGCAGGAGGTTACCCAATACCTCAGGTACAACACATAAGAGTTCTGGGACTCCGAATATCCGAGAACGGACATAACGGGGAAGCAATAAAGTTACTGGATAACAACACCCAACAAACCATTCGAATGATTCGAAGAATCGCCAACAAAAACTACGGCGTGAAAGAACACAACTTAGTGCAGCTCATCCAAGCCTTCGTCGTCAGCCGCATAGTGTATGTGACCCCATACCTCAAGTTGCAAGTGGCGGAAAAACAAAAGATAGAATGCATAATTAAAAAAGCATATAAGCAAGCCCTCGGATTACCGATCACCACGTCTAACGAAAAGTTCGAAGCGTTAGGAATGCATAACACGCTAGACGAACTTATTGAGGCTCATATGATAGCGCAATATGAACGACTCGCGCAAAGCAACACGGGAAGACACATCCTGCACAAACTTGCAATAACGTACGCTGGCCAAAGCGGCAATAAATACGATATCCCAAAAGAAACCAGAGAGCGCATCATAATACCTCCGTTACCCAGAAACATGCACCCCGAACATCACCGGGAGCGGAGGAATGCAAGAGCGAGAGCACTGCACAAGAAGTTTCAACATGACGCGGACGTGGTATATGTAGATGCAGCCGAATATACAGACGGTCGACACATGGCAATAGTCGCTTCAAATCAAGCGGGCCACCTGCTTGCTAGCGGCACCATTAAAACAGGAAATTCGGAAATCGCTGAAGAAACGGCCATAGCGCTGACGCTTGCGTCCACAAGGGCCAGCGTCGTAATCAGTGATTCTAAAACCGCGATTCATAACTTCGCTAACGGAAGGGTCTCGAAAGAGGCGTTAAGAATCTTAAATAACTTTCGCGGAGAGCGCGACGTTTATGTTATATGGACGCCCGCCCACTCCTCCCTCCCGGGCAATGAAACCGCACACACCCTAGCTCGAGAGTTAGCGAGCCGAGCAGGGACAGGAATGACGCGGAGCCCGCGTGCGGAGAGAGACCGCATGTTCAGTTACAACGAAATTACCAAGCACTACAGATTAGGGAGGCAGCACTACCCGCCACCACACTCCTCATTAAATAAGCAGCAGGCGACAGCGTGGCGCCTATTACAAACAAACACGTTCCCAAACCCAATCGCTTATAATCATTGTTACCCGGACCTCTACTCAGACAGATGTAAACACTGCAATCAGCGGGCGGACCTCAAACACATTATCTGGGCTTGCCCCAACATCGTGAAGGGGCCAAACACATACATGAATACGGAGCAGTGGGAGACCGCGCTGCTAAGCTCAAGCATCGAGGACCAACTACAGGTCATCAGGCAAGCCGAAGATGCCGCTAGGGCTCAAGGACTCCTAGCTGCCATCTAAGGGAGGGGAGTCAACTCCTCTAACACTTGCCGTTTCAATAAAAGTTGTTTCTCTCTCTCTCTCTTGCATTGCGCTATCTCTGCTTTCAAGTTTTTTTAACACATAATATTTCGGTCGAGGCCCTATGAATTCTGCGCAGTCTTTTTAGTTTACGCTTCATGTGAATTATTTTCCTACTTATTCATGGATATCTTCGGTTCGTCTTTTTAATGCGAGTAAGTATGAAGTTGTCTGAACAGTAACCTAAAATTTCCTTAAAACGTTTCCAGATCTGTTCAACGGACTCAAGTTTTGATGCCTCCTGAAATTTGCCAAGCGACATTTCTAAAAAGTCTAGGATTGCCGTATCACCAGCACGATCGTAATCTTTAATATGTGCATACACATGACGCTTTGCTCGAAGCCGGTATCAAAAAATACGTCAACCGCAACCATTCTGTGGTCTGATATGCCGTCTTCAACTGATACGGCATAATCAGTCACTCTACTCGATATGAAAACCAAGTCTAACAATGACTGTGACGTAGGGGTAACTCGTGTATAATATTTTACGCTTTGTGTGATGTTATGAGAAAACATCAGCTCTAATAACCTATCAGCACTACGGGTTTCCGCATGACCAGTTGAAAAGCTTACCCAATTTATATGCGCTAAATTAAAGTCATCAGCCATCATCAGCCTTGCGTTTTCATTTACATGATCACACAAAAACATATTTAATTCTAAAAACTCGGGTGGACTTCTGGGTGGTCTGTAGACGGCTCCAATGAGATGCGTATAATTAGCGTAATTCACCTTGCACCACACTGTTTCTGGCAACTGGCAATGTACTATTGTTGCCACCACGTTGTTTTTAATTATCACTGCCACACCACCACCTCGGGTGTCCCTGTCCCACCGGAAAATCTTGTATCCTGGGGGTAGGGTGCAGTTATCTGTTATATCACTATTCAACCATGTCTCCGTTAAGACAACAACATGGGAGCTGTGTGTATACAACAAGATTTCTAAATCTGTTACTTTATTTGCAATGCTTCGCGCATTCAGTGAAAGAATTCTTAGCTATGAACGCGCCGTCTCAGATGATTTTATGCCACTTCCATCGGTCAGCTTTGGCACATTCGAGCTGCTATGAGCGGAAGTTGCAGAGCTGTGGTTACGTTCCTTGTTGTCTTTTTGTTGCTTGCGTTGAGTACGAATGTTTCGTGTCGGATCCCACTGATAAAGCTCGCCGTTCACTTTAGGCTTGTCAGTGAATCAACTTCACTTTTGCTCCCTTTGCCCTTTCGGTTTCGCAGCTTTGCCATAACTTTTTCCTAGCGTGGAGAGTTTCTTTTGCGTAATCATTGCTGACACTAATAGTAGTCCCACTTCAATTTTTTGCAGTTTTTAGCAAACTTTCTATTTCACGGTAATCGTAAAAATTAATGATGACCGGTCTTGAGCTATTTGGTTTTTTCTTGCCGAGCCGGTGAATTCGGTCAACTGATTTTACTTTAATATCCAATTTTGCGTCAAAAAGTTTATGAACGACAGTTTCCATCAGGTCTGACTCGGTTTGACCAGAATCTTCCGGTAGGCCGAAAACGAGTAGATGATTACGTCTACTCCTGTTTTCGTAATCAATTAACTTCTGTTCTTGTTGCCTAACTATAGCTTCCAGCCTGCTAATTCGCTAGTCTGTCAACTTTTCAGTTTTAATATTTAAATCGGATATTTTTTTTCCTCATAGCATCTATCTTGGTTTCGGATGCTACTTGTTTTTCTAAGATTTGCTCCAACATCTCAGCAGTTCTTGGACCTGGGTTTTCCTCCACATCACCAGACTTTAAAAGCATCAACACCACAGACCAGCAATCAATGACACAAGCAATACAAATGTTATGGCACGGCAATACTAACAAAAAACGATTGTCACTACTATAACATGCTGTATTAGAGAGGTAACGAACCTTCATAAACAGCAATGCCGACTTAGACATGTTGCCTGCAGGCCATGTGCCATGCCCTCTGAGGGTTCCTTGGTTGGGCTGCTCCTTTCCTAGCCGAGGTGTTGATGACCTCAGTGATGATAGACGAGCCGTCCAGGTGCTGCTTTCGGAGTCCTGATAAGTTCCGTCGAAAGGCAGCCAATTTTTGCCACCAGTTGACACCGATGATGGTTAATCCACCCACTTGTTGCTCACAGTTATCTGATGAGACTGGTGGGAAGGTAGCCAGAATGTGCCGCTCGTAGTTGCCGCTCCCACAATCCACGAAAGTGCCTGCATAAACAGCAATGCCGACTTAGACAGGTTGCCTGCAGGCCATGTGCCATTCCCTCTCAGAATTGAACCAATCTACGGTTTTCAAAAAAAAAAAATTGGCAGATCCCACGTACCATGGGAATCCACGTTATGCGAAGCGTGCGGAGGGAAGGTGACCATGTGGCAATTTTTTTCGTGAGCGACACGTCATGAAATGACGCTAAATATATGTACAGATGTTGCAAGCATAACATATGTTGAAAAGTTGGAGATGTTTATATAACCAGTCGTTTGCACTTGCGCAACGAAGCCAACTGGAGCATTCGTATTAGCCACTCCGGAAGCACATACGAAGCGCTGATGCTCGCGAGGATACTGGCCCTGGACACTGCTACATATATCAACTCCAGCGCTCGACAAATAGCTACAATCGGCGTTAACTCCACGTGACGGCTGTAGCAAAGGAGTACATATGTAATGATTATAAAATTGGGTAGGCAGCACTGCAGCCACTACTGACGTGTCAATTTGAAAAGTAGTTCCGAGATCTGGGGTAGCTATGTGGTAAAATGCTTCATTGCCATGCAGAATGCCTAGGTTAGATTCCAGCTAGAACCTTGACATTTATTCTTTGCATTCGTCAGGTCGACGCTATATTGATGTCGGGTGTTTCTTAACGTTCGCGCGTCAAAATTCCCCATGTGTGTTATGTTACATATTCGACAACTGGACGACCGACGAGTGCCGAGGAAAGACGACGCAAGCAGTGCCAGGAAGACAATCCCGTTTTATTGACGCAGCGACGCGCTTTTTATGCGCTGTCGAACCAATCAGAGGGTGGCAAAAACAAAACAAGAGGAGCCGATATCGCGGCAAGCAGGCAAGCTTATCAGAGAGCCAAACGAAAGAGCGTGGCGAGCTGGGCGAATGTTACAACTCGGCCAAAGCTACCCATATCGGAAGGCGTTCAAGAGGATGACGCTTCTTGAACCGTAGAGTTTCCCCCAATACTTACTAGAGGGAACTCTGGCGCTAGTGTCTATAGAAGCTGCAACGCACGGCGCTTCAGCGAGCATGGGAATGATGGGTAGTACACACATTTGTCTAATATTCGTACTTCTGGCCTGCTTTTGGCTCCGTATGTGTTCGTGTGGCTTGAAACTGTTTTCTTACGAAACAAGTATTAGCAAATGTTCAACGGTTGCGTTTCACCATTTTATTTTTTATAGACTTACTTTCAAATTTGGCTCACGAAGATCAAAAGGGTTCAATCTTTCTTTCAAAACAAAGCCGAAACACAGCATTAAACGAAGCCGCAAGTACGATTCACTGCCCGCAAATACGAAGACTAGGCAAATATGTGTACTACCCATCATTCCCATGGTCGCTGAATGATCGCAGCGCCAGAGTGCCCTCTAGTTAATTTTGAGAAACTCTATGTCTTGAACAACTGAAGGTAGGAACAGGTGGCCAACATTCGAGGCAAGTTTGTACAAGCAAGCGCTTACCGCACGTTTCACACGTTCACATTGTCCTTGTGCTTGACACGGGTGAAGATGGCGGGATGCATGGCGGCACATGCGGACACGTTGTGGTTGGCACCCGCACAGTGAATGAAGATGGCACTTGGTGTCCTCAGGCACCAACAAGCCCGCAGAGTTTTTGGGGCTCCCAGGCGGAGGCGACGATGAGAACGGGTTTCGGTCGCCGATTGGTGCTCGGATGCCACGCATGTAGCAAGAAGGAGCTGGCAGAAGTCACCTGGCACAGGGTTAGACTCGTCAGGCGGCATAAAAGGATCTGAAACAGCATAGTGAACAAGCAGCAGGAGCGCAGTAACTACGTCAGGAGCAACCTGACGTCCAAGTTTGGGAAAGACCGACTGATGAATTCACCGGGAGCAGATAGCACGAAACCAAAACTACAATGGAAAAGGCTGCGCCGAAATGCATGCACACACAATGGGAGGGAGAAAAAGAGAAACACTGGGGAGTGAGGCTGAGGCAGTCAGCATTTGCATGGTGTTTGCCTTTCTTGTGCCGCACTGTGAAATCAAAGTGTTGGAGTGCGAGGCTCTACCTCATTAAGCGGCTATTTTTGTTTGACATCTGGTTGAGCCACACGAAAGGGCAGTGATCGGTTTCGAAAACAAAGGAAGAACCTTTCAGATAACACGAGAGCTTTTCGAGGGCCCACACCAAGCAGGCGCATTCTTTTTCCGTTTTGCTGTATACCTGCTCTCGAGACGTGAGCTTTCTACTCGTGTAGATCACAGGGTGTTCCTCGCCTTTTTCATTCACTTGACTTAGAACGACGCTCATCCCGCGATCACTGGCGTCACACTGAACTAGGAAAGGGAGGGAGTAGTCTGGTGCCGAGAGAACCGGTTGGTTGACAAGAATATTTTTAACCTCGGCAAACGCTGCCTTTCGAGCTGTATCCCAACGCACTGTAGTTGGTTCGGTCTTGTGGAGATCGTCTGTGAGGGTACTAGGTAAGTTTGAAGTTAGGAATATGGCTTCTGTAGTATTCAGCTAAACCCAAAAATGAACGCATGTCAGTCTTTGTTTTCGGCAAAGGAAAGCTAGTGATCGCGTCCACTTTTAGTTCGGAAGGACGTCGCTTCCTTTGGCCAACAACATGCCCCAAATAGTGAACGTGGGTGCTCGCAAGACGACATTTAGTCATTTTCAGAGTCAAGCCTGCTATGAGTAGTCGAAGGAAAACCTCCTGTAAATATTCCAAATGCTGTTGCCAAGTGTTCGAGAATACCGCGATGTCATCGAAGTAGGGAACAGCAAATGACTCTGCCTGCGAGCCCCTGATTCATTAGTTTTGAAAATACGAACGGTGCGTTCTTGAGATCAAAAATCAGCACAAGTGGGCGATATGTGCCTGTCGGAGTCATGAAAGTGGCTAGCTGGCTGGCGTTTTCCGTGAGTGGCACTTGCCAGAAGCCGCGGACTAGATCCAACGGGGAAACATACTCTGCTGCGGAAACTCTTTCGATCAAGGCTTCGACATTAGGAATGGGAAACAACTTGGTCTT